TATATATGTATATAATGAATAGAACGTTAATTTGCAACTGAAGAAGGTGGGTTTCACCTGGTTTCAGGGGTAAAGTTAGTGAGAAAATGGCCTCCAAACTTTTGTATCTTCCAATGTTTTAGAGTCCTTGGAAACTGCAAATTTCCACTTTACAAACTGATTTCGTTCCTTCTGAAATATTATTTCCTCAAAGTAGTCTAAGTGCATGTCTTCTCAGTGGGACGGCAAAGAGCCTAACTGATACAAATGTATAACGCAGACTCTTGTGTCCATATGGTCCAGTTCTATACAATAACGTGGTACCAAACACGATAAGGTTAAATGCTTTGGCCAGGATGCTTAGAAAACCACCTCACTAACAGAAAAGCACATGATGCTGGTTTTGTCTTTCGCCGTTTCAGGAATGTATTGCTTAAAGAGAAGGCAAAAATGGCACCATGTTCGTCTCGGGAAAGAAGTTTACTTTCTCCCCCCTTGGGTTCCAATGTTAGTTCATGGTCATACTGCATTTATCAAATCTTTCCCATGCCCTTTTTATATATCTGTCACTTTTCATGTTCTTCCCGTCAAATAAATTAGAGTGTTTGTTTGCAGGAACATCAAAGTCAAACTTTCTCCTTATCAAGACATAGTCAAACTGTTGCGAGTGTGTTTGACAAACTTGCGTGCAACCAGAAGTATGCGTGTTTATCAACTGGAAGATGAGAGTTCTTTGCTTTGTAAAATAAGTTTACTCCGACTTTTTTCATTAAAACAAAACCTCCTCTAACCGTTGGGTGTCGAGGGAAGATGCAGTTTTCTCTGCCAGTTGAGATTTTGTTGTTTCTCAGGGTTCCCTCGACTCTCTTAATCCATTTTATGCCTGCTCTACCTCTTCTTGTGGAGTCTGAAATTAAGGTCTTATAAGCTCTTGAAGCTGACTTACGAGGTGGCATTCGTGAACAGGTGGCCACACCAATTCATTCTTTGTTTTTCTATGCTCTTACACCTTCATTTTCTTATATTTTCATTTCTTCGAAAATAACATAAGCGTATACTATTTTCGATGCTGATCGTCACCACTGGTTAAGTGGACTTTAACAGTACAATTTCGCATCTGTCAATTGGTTTTTAATCCACAGGACCCAAGTACAATACTGGTGGGGAAAGAAAAGGCCCAAAATGGCACATGGGAACCTTTCGTTCGGATCCTTCGTTCCAGAGTAAGTCATCCGTTAAATGAACATTTGTGTCTGTGTCGGAGTGTATTTGTTTATGTTTGTGTGTGAGTGTGTGTGTGTGTGATTGTGCGTGTGTATGTGTGTGTGTGTGTGTGTGTGTGTGTGTGTGTGTGTGTGTGTGTGTGTGTGGGTTAGGTTTATGTAAATATTTATGTGTGAATATGTATTTATGTGTGGGTTTATACATTTATATGTGTTAATATTTGTATTTTTGTGCATATTTATGTGTGCGTAAGTGTATCTGATGTTTCTGTCAAGGGAGAGAACGGGTGACGGAGAGGTTTGGGGTGAAGAGGGGGGGGGGTGGAGTAGGTTATTTTTCTAGGCCTTTCCTAAAATATTTTTCTAGTCCAAGCAATCTGACATAATGTCCCTTCAGCTCAGTTGTTATCATACTGGACTATAGAACGGATGGCCTTTAATCGAATCCCAGATTGAGTGTTCTTGAACTCTGATCATTTTGTGGAATTTTCGAGATTTGGTTCGGTCCTTTCGGAGACGGACGTTTAAGTCCGTGGCTAAGCCTCTTAAATAACCTAATTTTGCTGATAGGGACATTATAATAACATACATTGTATTTATTGTATAATGACACACACACATACAGAGAGAGAGAGAGAGAGAGAGAGAGAGAGAGAGAGAGAGAGAGAGAGAGAGAGAGAGAGGGAGAGAGAGAGAAGATATATATATATATAGATATAGATATATATATATATATATATATATATATATATATATATATATATATATATATATATATATAATATTATGTTTCTTCTCATTAAGAATCCCCTGGCCCAGGCAGCTATGACATTAAGAGCAGCATTGGCGAAGCCCCCCGAGCCGTCCTCTGCAGCCGTCATGTTCCAAAAGAGTCATGTGAGTGATACCTTCTTTATAGACTTCTTATTGCTTTATGACGTGTTTGGCATCTTGGTTATCTATGTTACTACTTTGAAGGTGTACCTGAAGCTTTGTATTAAGTTAATATTGTTCGCATTCCTTTTGAATTGGGGTGTATGACACTCTGGTACCCATCCCCAGTCTAGATACTCTTTAACTTGGTTTCGTTTACGAGTTTTTAGTTGTTTTTCGTTTTGTTTTGTTTGTTTTTGTGGGAATTTGTTTGCTAAGTATCAACTTTTGATTTCTGGAGATTAACACAGGACATCCTGGGTTTTTTTCAAACCCGGAGTTGAAAGAGACGTTTAGATCTTCCTTTTGCATATTAAAAGAACCCACTCTCATGCTTTATCTCTGCAAAATAGTTTTTATTGTTCTTATGGTATTATAGTCTTACGTGAAATATTTTTTCTTCTCACCCCCCACCGTTTAACTATATAAGTATGGTTTACAAACCTTTGCGCTGAAATATTTCCTTTACGTTCTATGTCCTCAAGTGCTTGTCGACCACCATAACACATTTCTTTTTTTATGGATATTATTTAACATTTGTTTTGAAAAAATAAAGAGATACACGTACGGCAAGTGAAAGCTATACCTCAAGATGATCTGAACAGTACTTCTCATTCTAAATAACAATCGTTCGTCGGAGTGTACTTTGAAAGTGTGCCAATATATCATCAATTGACGGGATTGCAGGTCCTGATGGTTTGCTGAATGCACCAGAATTGACTTATGTAGCAGGGCATGCAAAGAAACAAAACTGTATCACTGACTACAACTATTTAAAGATAGAAATACAAACACATATAAGCGGACGTGGGTGGTTGGCGGGAGCTCTGGTGTGGTTTGCTTCTTCTTTCCTATCAAACATCTATCGTCCTTATCTCCACTTCTTCTTTTTTATGTTTGTTACTCCCTTGTAACACCTCAAATCTTCTGGCGCTCATATGACCTAATGCAGTTGCGAGCGCCGTAAAACCTCTACTAAAACTAAAACATATAAGCAGACACATGCACACACACACACACACACACACACACACACACACACACACGCACACACACACACATACACACACACACACACAATAAAAAAAAGCTTAGGATAGCTGAATTCCTAGTTGGTGCCTTTTTTCTCTTCAGTATGAAACTCAGTGAATACAGACCACTCAGTGATGTCGATTTCCTTTTGAAACTTTCAATAAATTAGGATTTTAAAAAATGGTACCATTTCTTATGGATTCAAGTTTTTAAAAATCAACGTAGCTCTAGGTTAGGTGTGTCCGGAAAAGTAAGTAATGTCTATGACTTTAATGTCTCCTCTCTCTTGAATAAACTTGATATCCTTTAACTTGATGAAGGCTTTTCTCTGGTATTCAATAAGTAATTGTCCTTTAATGTAGAATTTGTATGCCTCGTTCGTCACAAGAACGAAAAGGTTGAAATGTTCGCCAGGCTGGAAGATATTTGTGTATTTGGTCGTAGCTCCGCTTAACCAAGCCATACGATGAAAGCTGTTCACGAGCACATCCGAATCTGTAATCTTGAAAAACACATCCACTGCTGAACAGTTATTGGTAGGACTGTTACAGACCTGAGGCCCAAAGTACAAACCCGATTCTTCTGTTCCCGGGATTCCAGAAATGCGTATAACTGTTGCATCATACAGCCCGGAAGGGATGTATAAGACTCCGGACGTGGTGGTAGTTTGTCTCTGGGGCAGGTAAAAAGGAGCGTCCATGTTAGATTGGGACATGTCCAGATGGTGAACTTCAGAAGCCTTACAGAGAGTGCAAATACTCCCAGGGCTCATGGTGAAAGCCAAACACTCCGGTAACAGCGTGGTACAAGATTGCACGCATGCTAGAAGTGAATTACTGGCACTGAGCTCTTGAAGTGAGCAGGGCACTAGCCGACCAGGTATTGCTGCATAGACCGCGGTCACAGCTTCGTTGGCAATGGTTAAGGGTAGAGAGTTCATGAATCCGTAAACTGCGAGCAAAATGATGGGGAAAGTAACGCGGCTGCGTCTGTGTTTGCTTAGATTTCTCATTTTGATAGTGTTCATTCAGACCGTCTAAGAACACTGGAGAAAGATGTAGAGGAGGAAGACGACAACGAGGAGAACGAGGGGGATTTACACTTTCTCGAGTCGTTTTAGGGCTGCTGGAGTAGCTTCTTTAAAAAGCTCGCACTTTTCATTTTAGCCTTCCATCGTATTTGATGTCATCACGTATTCGCCATTTTCTCCAGCCTTTACAATTCCAGATTGTATTTGCAGGTATAACAAAACCAACGTTTGGATCTACTATGTCCTTTTACAATAAAAGCCCATAATCTCGTCGCGCAGTGAAATGATGCAAGTGCTGATGATACTTCCGAAATAAAAATAAAACAACCCCAAAGAAATACAACAAAAAACGGACAGTAAAAACTACTAAAGTTTATGTAGTCAGCCAATAAGGCATGAATATAATTCACTGAGGTCGTAGTATGTTTGTCCATTCCTTCTGATTTGGTTTCTCTCTTCTCACTGTTAGAAGTCTTTTCCTGGTTCCAGGGGCAGCCACTACTTGGATGTGAATCACACGACAAAGACACAATATGAAGTTTCCTTTGCAAAGTAAGATCGTTTAGGATCCCCTTCTCCTCTGTGTAAGAAAAATGCTGTTCTTCCAAAGAAACACAGCGTCAAAAATTGTATTTTTATGACGTCTAAAGTATTTATTTTTAGGTTGTGAGACAATATTCATCTAAGCGGATCAATGACATGTCAAACCATGTATGATTGTATGATTACGTTGTCCATTGTCTATTACATCTTCACTATTTTTAAATTTTAAATTTTGTGCCTCTTGTCAGTACAAACATATTCATGACTTCTGAGCCTTTCGCTTACTAACAGCTCCCCTTATATGGCAAGTGCGCCAATTCATGCCTTTATAGTCGTTACCTTGCTGAGGTATCAGAGTGTTACCTGCACGTAGAATGCATACATTATTGAAGGTAACCGTTAAGAGGTCTCGTGAATCTTTGACTCTGTCAGACCTACCCCTGACCATACCCCCCACCCCCCTGTACCTGGACTCCTTTGTGAGGCGTACGGAGCAAGAGCTCCCTATTACCTATTGACTGGGAATCCGATCCGACAGGAGAAGGGCGATGCTATTGTCCGATTAAAATAATTATCGCAAATTATGCTATGTTCTTCTGAAAACTTACTTTTCTGCACCCCCTTCTTCTTTGATTCTTTTTATTTTGTACACTTTTGAGAGTAATGTGTATAGCAGTTAAGATAACTGGTTAAGTGCCTGGTTTCCAAACAGGTTTACTATTACCTTTGTATTAATAGACCATTGATGGAACAATATGGAATAGATAATTGGCCTGGGACGTTCGCCAAGGACACGCGTGTATACAACACAACAATGTACGTGACTATGGTCTATTGAAACTGCAGGGTGGGGAGGGGGGGTGGGTGGACATTTGAGAAAATGACGTAATGTTTTCATGAAATCCCCAAAACAAGAAATTCTCTTTTTTGTTTGCATGTGACAGTTTTGAATAAGAGGCCTTTTCTCGAAATACTTTACATAAATTTCGTGAGTTGAGGCTCTCAGACAACATTCCTTATAATTTGTTAAAACTAAAGTGGTGTTTGCAAGAAAGGACTTGTAATAGACTGCACACAGTAATCTACGTGTTTGTCAAAATATATGAACATTCAGCTATAGCATTATCTTTCTATTTGAAACCTCGCTGAAAAGCTAAGAGAATGTTACCAAGCGTCAATCTTAACGATTCACGTAATATAATGTCAGCAGGCAGTTAATAAAGTAAATAAACGAGTGCTTGGAAGGCGCCTCTGGTAGGTCCTACTTGCTTAACTTTACCGCTGTGGTTTTTGTGTCTTACATTTTCTCAGCACTAAACGACCGTTATTGTGTCAATAAAAAAACTTCTTTATACTCTAACAAACAAAGCGGTTTACAATTTCAATCATTTAACAGCCTTGTGTAGGAGTGAAGAAATAGCATTACACGCCAAGAAACAAATGATGTGTGTGTGTGTGTGTGTGTGTGTGTGTGTGTGTGTGTGTGTGTGTGTGTGCGTGTGTGTGTGCGAGAGAGAGGGAGAAAGAGATATAGAGAGGGAAAAAGAGGATGGGAGAGACAGAAAGAACGAAAGAGAGAGAGAGAGGGAGAGTGGGAGAGAGAGAGAGAGAGAGAGAAAGAGAGTGAGAGACAGACAGACAGACAGACAGACAGACAGACAGACAGACAGACAGACAGACAGACAGAGATAATTTCTCATTCATAGACTTGCTGGAATTTATGTCGTATCATATATAATAATACCACATTCTGGACCAGCGAATCAATATTAACAAAATGACTCGTGGATGATTGTTTTTCTTGCTGTATTTTATAGACTATAACATTGAAGACCCCCCCCCCCTTTTTCTGCCCCCCCCCCCAAAAAAAAGAAAAAAGAGAAAAAAAATAACAATGTTGCAACATGCATCTTTTAACGCAAAGAGGAGGGACAACTGTTTCTGTCAATGGTAACTGCATGTTAGATCCATGGTGAGTAAGCGCTTTGACACCGCAGTTGGTAGCATGTCAATCTGGCAGGCGGAGACAAAGCTTGTTGGAATCCCTGTTGGTTGGGGTGTTTTTGAATTGAGCTGAATGAGTTGTTAAAAATTCTAATGTTCTCCACTTCTTTGGATCGGGCGGCCCGAAGAGGGATATTAAATACTGTTTTATTTTGTGGACATGGTTTTGTTCGAGTTCTGAATCTCCGTGCGATCATAAGAGAGACCGAGAGAGAGAGAGAGAGAGAGAGAGAGAGAGAGAGAGAGAGAGAGAGAGAGAGAGAGAGAGAGCGATAGATAGATAGAGAGAGGAGCGAGAGAGAGAGAGAGAGAGAGAGAGAGAGAGAGAATGGGAGGGGAGATAGAAAGGAAAACA